ACGGCCCTCAGCCCCTCACCCAGGCTGGCCACACCCTCATGGGGTGAGGGTCCCTGCTGGGGGGCTTGGCCATCCTGAAAACAGCCATCAGCCCCTCACCCAGACTGGCCAGGCACCCCAGCGGGGACCCCCACCCTGAAGGGGCTGTGGCCAGCCTGCAAACAGCCATCAACCCCTAACCCAGGCTGACCAGGCACTCCTATATAATAAAAGAGTAATATGAAAATTGACCCTAACAGCAGAACAACTGGGAATGACTGGTCACTATGACACACACTGACCACCAGGGGGCAGATGCTCAATGCAGGAGCTGCCCCCTGGTGGTCAGTGCGCTCCCACACGGGGAGCTCTGCTCAGCCACAAGCCAGGCTGATGGCTGCCAGTACAACGGTGGTGGTGGGAGCCTCTCCTACCTCCTCAGCAGTGCTAAGGCTGTCCGACTGCAGCTTAGGCCTGCTCCCCGCTGGCAAGTGGACATCCCTCGAGGGCTCCCGGGCTGCCAGAGGGATGTCTGAATGCAGCTTAGGCCCAATCCCCCCAGGGAGAGAGCCTAAGCCAGCAGGTGGACATCCCCCAAGGGGTCCCAGACTGCAAGAGGGCACAGGCCGGGCTGAGGGACACCCCCCCTGCCCCGAGTGCACAAATTTTTGTGCACCGGGCCTCTAGTATATATATAAAAAGAGGTCACCAGGTTGATTCCCAGTCAGGGCACATGACCAGGTTGTAGGCTCCATCCCCAGTAGGGGGCATGCAGGAGGCAGCTGATTGATGTTTCTGTCTCTCTCTACCCCTTTCTGTTTCTCTTTCTCTAAAATTAATAAAGACATATTTTTTAGTCCTAGCCCAGTGGTCGGCAAACTGCGGCCCCTTGAGTGTGGCTCTTCCACAAAATACCATGTGTGGGCGCGCACGTACAGTGTGATTGAAACTTCGTGGCCACACTCAAGGGGCCAAAGAGCCACATGTGGCTCGCGAGCCGCAGTTTGCTGACCACTGTCCTAGCTGGTTTGGTTCAGTGGATAGAGCATCAGCCTTCGGACCCAAGGGTCCTGGGATCGATTCCAGTCAAGGGTTCAAGAGCACACATTTTGGTTGCAGGCTGCTTCCCTGCCCAGGCCCTGGTCAAAGCTTGTGCAGGAGGCAACCAATCGATGTGTTTCTCTCACAGTGATATTTCTCTGTGTCTTTCCCTCTCTCTTCCACTTTCTCTAAAAATCAATGGAAAAATATCCCCAGTGAGGGTTAAAAAACACACAAAAACATATCTTTTAAATAAGAGAGAGCAAAAGAAATGGTCAAAGATTTACATTCAAGGGTTTTCATATTAAAAGCATTAGATCAAAATTGGAAATACCGGGGGGGGGGGGGGGGGGGCGGGGAATGCCAGCATCCTCAATGGAAGGGAAGGGAAGGGAAGGGAAGGGAAGGGAAGGGAAGGGAAGGGAAGGGAAGGGAAGGGAAGGGAAGGGAAGGGAAGGGAAGGTTATCAATAAATTTGGATCAGTTTGGATGCATACTTCTTCCCAATTTTTATTACTTTTCTAAGTATTCCTGAGCCAGGTATCTCAGCTGGTTAGAACGTTGTTCCAATATGCCAACGTTGCAGATTTCATCCCCGGTCAGGGCACATATAAGAATCAACCAATGGCCGAAACCGGTTTGGCTCAGTGGATAGAGCGTCGGCCTACAGACTGAAAGGTCCCAGGTTCGATTCCGGTCAAGGGCATGTACCTGGGTTGTGGGCATATCCCCAGTGGGAGATGTGCAGGAGGCAGCTGATCGATGTTTCTCTCTCATCGATGTTTCTAACTCTATCTCTCTCCCTTTCTCTCTGTAAAAAATCAATAAAATATATTTAAAAAAACAAAGAATCAACCAATGAATGTATGACCAAGTGGAACCATAAATCGCTGTTTTTCTCCCTTCCTCTCTCTAAAATCAAATAGGTAAAAAATAAAGTATTCCTGAAACTATTCCATAAAAAAAAAAAAAAAATTGGAAATACCTAATAGGGACTTGGTTATCTAAAATTATGGTAAAACCCTAAAACAAACTATACTGTTTAAAAGCTGTTTGAGTCCTGGCTAGTGTAGGTCAGTGGTAGAGTGTCAGCCCGCACATTGAAGGGTCTGGGATGGGGGGCGTTGATTCCTGGTGAAGTGCCCTGGGAGTTGTGGAAAGCAACCAATCTGCATCTCTCTCACATTGATGTTTCTCTTACTTTCTCTCCCCCCCCCACCCCCTCTGTCCCTTCCATTCTCTCTAAAAACCAATGGATAAATAAATAAATAAATAAATAAATGTTGTTTAAAACCATGTAGAATAATTATTAAGGGGAGAAACTATTCAAAATATATTGCAAAGTGAAGAAAGCTATAAATAACGTGTCTTATATTTTTGGGAAAAAAGTATATAAACACACACACAAACATCTGGAAGGTCATACATCAAAATGAAGTTTGTCTTGGATGGTGGAATTTTGAGGGATTTCTTTTTACCCCTCATTCTTTTCTATATCATATTTCACATTTTCTGCAATAACATCATCACTCCTTCTTACCAACATTTATTGTGTTGAATGGACAAAGATCTAAAAACCTCAGTCCTATTTCAAACCTCACAATGACTCTATGGGTAGATACCACTTTACTGTTCAAATTATTGAGACAAAGAAAGGCTAAGGATTCAAATCCAGGCTCTCTGAGTCAAGGGCCTAAGTTTTAAACTCTCTTAACTATTTGCATGTGCTATACCATATGCATATTTCTTTAATAACTAGACAGTAATGGATGCTTCTGACTTCAGAAGAAAAGCCATTCTGTTCAAGAGAGCATCAACCTCTGAGATTCTGCCAAACTGCAGAAAATAGCAAAACTCTGTCTCACTTGAGGATGGGCTCTGCAGTTCCCCATCTGATGACCCACAGCACCCACTGAACTGCCCTATCCATGATCTTTAGATTCTAAGAGTCATACGGGGCTGCAGTTACCATTTCTGCATTGCAGAAAAGCCAAAGTTTGGTCGGGAGGGGAAGCTCCATATGCAACATACTTGGTTATGTTCAATGAGGATTTCAGAACATCTAAAGAACCAAAAAGCTAATGATTAAGCCAGAAACAAAGAAACCTAACCAGTCAGCAACTTTCCACATTGGGCTTAATCTTATCCAGTGTTTCCAGGCATGTTTACTGTCCAGTTGTTTAAAAATGAAATCAGCCTTACACCTCAGAAAAGTAGATTGAGATTGCTGATAAATTCAGATAAATCAATCAGTTGAAAAATAAGTTGTTCACCCTCTCCTCTCTCCCAATATAGTCTCAAGTTCTGGTGTGTTGCACTACACAGAGGGTGAATAAAGTTTTTGTATTTTTCCTAGAAGCATAAGAAAAGGATTTAATAAGCACAGTTTTATAAGGGGACCAAAAAAATCCTCCCAAAAACCTCTAAATGAAAATTATTCTTGTCCCCTAGCTATACTGCCGTTTGCAAAGTCTGGTCATGTTTTGTCTTCTTTTTTTAATACAGCCCATGAGTCATAATGGTGTGGCCAAAGCTAAAGACAGCAGCTTGACTAGCCTCTTTTGACTAAGGTATTGCCTGGTTACGGATGGCATCAATGTTTGCACTATTATTTGCATCACAACCAGTGGCATAATCCAACATTCAGAAGGAAGCTGTCCACTATAGATGAATGCTTTTATCAGCAGGGTCTACAAAGTATAACAAAAGTTACACTTTGGTAATAAGTTTAAAGAAAGAAAAATGGAAATAAAAGCATTTAGGAAAACATGCTGAAAGCAATCTTAACTTATTTAACTAATCATTAGGTTTGGTATAAACTTTCCCCTTAACAGATGCCTAAGATTGTGAGCACTGCTTTGATTTGATCAACAGGGTAACAACAAAACATAAAGTAGGCCTATCAGAACCAGAGGATTCTACATTTAGGTGGAAGGTATATGGAAAAGCCCAGACACACCAAGTTATCTCTAAGAGGCCCTCAAGGTGCAGGAGGGTGGAAGTGGGGGGGGGGGATTTTAATTAGCAAAGTAATGAAAAAAAATCGAGTTGCAAGACACTAAGTCATCCAGGTCTTTGACTCCATTAATATCTTTCCTCAATTATCTTAACATTCAAAACTGTGGACTTAATTTCCCACACAGCACAAAGAGAAGTGGACCCATTCGGGATAGACTTCACTACTAAAATATATGTTTTTGTATAATCTGTACCAGTAACTGCATTTGGGGAAGGTCAAGAATTCCAGGATTAAGTTTCCGTAAGATTTTCTGGATGACTCAAGCTAAGATGCTGGCAATGAGGATGCAGTTAACGCATCATTACCTTATCAACTAGATTTAACATAAGTATGGCTCTAATATTCTAAACATGCAACTCTAAAGTTGTGAAAGCCAACGCTTGCCAACCTACGGAAGTCCTCAGTAATCATTTTGGCGCCCTCAGCACATGTTACAACACATGTTAATTTCCCTCAATACCAAACACAATATAGTTTCTAATTGATAAACTGCTTCTTAGATTCTAATCTAGAAACACCAGGAGGGCTCAGTATTCAGTACGCTCTCTCATGCAAGCTGGTCCAAGGGGAACTTGTCCAGCCTGGGTGGCTCAACAGCAAAGCGACAAAGCCACGTGTCCCCACAGCCCAGGCTAAGCGTTTTTCCCCTCTCGTGGCTTTACTATCCTCCGGCTGTGTCCTCCAACCCTAGCCTTCAAACCCAGAAGCTTCTCCTCAAGCTCAATCTTGGCTCCACCCCACCACCATGGTGAGAACCAATGTGACACCCCCTCACCCGCCGCGAGAGGTAAAATAACGGAAACAGTCCATAGAGCACGCTAGCCTCAGAGCTGACCCTTCCCCCCAAAACCCTGTCCCTTAGAACTCACGCGGCAGCCCCATTGCCCCTTCTCTCTGCCGCCCACATGTCGCCCTGCAGCTCGGGCAGGTGTGGCGGTGGGGATCCCAACTTCACCCTTACCAGGTCTCCTGGTTGCTGAATTTCTTAGTCACCACCTTGCCTAGCTCCAGGCCCAGGCGGTCAGCAATTTTCTGGGACAAGTCCTGATGGGAGCTGCCGCTGAAGATTTTGATATTCGGCATCTTGGCCAATGACCCTAGGCACTCTTTGCTCAGCGATCACTGCTGCTGCAAGCCCTGAACCAAAGTCAGCCCAGAGACTCAGTACTAAAAGCTTCGCATTGCTACTCCGCCATCTTACGTTCCCGCGGGCGCGCGGCTCTAAATTGCCCAGTGCCCAGGGGGCGGGGCCGGCAGGGAAGCCTCCACCCCCACTCGCTCCGATTAGTTGAGAAGCAACGAGGGGGCGGATCCTCGCTGCAGCTCTGCCCACAACCAGCAAACTCAGGTATTATTAGATGGAGGCCATGAAAGGGGAGAGGCTAAAAGCAGCCCTCTCCCTGGTAGCAAGGCAGTTGGGGGGCGGGGGGGGGGGGGGGAAGCTGGTCGAAGAGCGCTGAAACCTTCCGCTCTTGAGGAGGGTGGAGGGATGCTGGTGACGTGTAGGACCAGATCTTTCCGCTGGCGGGAAATCAGCTACGCTGCTTTTCCCCTTCAGCACCAGAAAGCAAGTCTGGCTCTGGTTTACAGTTTCTTTTCAGAAGATCTGTTTATCAGGATGGCAGCCACAGTTTATCAGAATGAAGGGGAGATTTCTGAACATGAGTTTGCATGTTTCTGAACATGAGTGGTTTTTATCACTGTATAAGGACGGGGCCAAATTAAAACACATTTCCATCACAGAGAGATACCCTTAGCACTGGCGCATACAGAGTTTGTTTGCCCTTTGCAATTATGGCAGTTTCACCTTGGGGAAAGTGACAAGGCACACCACCTAATAATCCAGACACTGCAAGAGAAAGCTGTTTTTTGTTTCTAACGCTGGGACCCACTATGTTCAAACGAGTGAAGGAGTAAGAATTTTCCAAAATATCTGGGCAATAAAGGTCTGATTTACCGAAGCTTGGAAAAGAGAGAAAATACAGTGTATTTATGGGACTTTGGATAAAGAGCCCTGAATGAATCAGAAAACCTGGTTTTTGGTCATATCTGCCCCATGTGAGCCTCAACATCATCATCTGCAAATTGCTAATGTGGCCTTTTACACCATGCTTTGTGATGATACATACTAATTGGACCACAGAGAGCTTGTATTCTTATACATTTTCATTAGGTATATTCCAACCATGCTTTAGAAGTAAGAGACAAGTACAATTTTAAAATAAAAATTCATACAATTTTAGAATTGTACAATTGTAGTTATGAGCAGCACATTCTTCGCTGCTCAGAAGGAGACAGTTTTGGCAGCTTAGGCAGAAGCTGCCAAGAAGTGACCCCTCTCCGGCACACTACAGAATTCTGAAGGAGCAGCAGGGAAGGAGGCCACTGGGAAGGCTGTACCAAAGAGGAAGAGGGGAGGTGACACCAACCTGATTATTATTTCCCTCACTTTAGATTATATATTTTACACATATGGATGTACAACTCCCCCCAAAAAAACAATATAGAAAGGATTTCAGAAATCTACTAGCCTCATTTTCCTTATGGTGAAACTGAGGCCCAGAGATGAGAAGTGATTTGTCCAAGTGGCAAAGGCAGAAAACACTTAAAGCAGCCTCCTATCTTACCTGTACTGCCATTGGCAGTGGTGTCCATGGAGAAATTCTCTTTTTTGACCTTTTGTCATACTTTTACAAGTTTAGAATTCAATGTAGGCCGAGGTATATAGAAGTACTCGGAGAAGGAAATAAACTGCAAGGTAGAATATTAATAGTCTTCCATCACAGTTCATTCATCAAATATTTACTGAGTGTTTTATTGCATACCAGACAGTGTGCTAGACATCCAGGGGACTATAAATTATTTTCCCCCAAGGAATTAGCTTATTCAGTAAATACAGAGTGTCCCCAAAAATGTATATACACTTTAACAGCTGCTGGCTCATTTTTGAAAATGAAATGTGCGTTAAGAAACACTGCCTTTATAGTTATTCAAAGTGTGTGTATACATTTTGGGGGGGCACCCTATATTTATCGTGTACTTTTTATGTGCCAGGCTCTGTTCTGTGCTCAGAGAATACAGCAGTAGACAATAAAAAAAAAAAACAAAAAAACCTATTCTCATGGAGTTTACATTCTCAAACATCAAACACATAAGTAAAATATATGTCAAATGGTGATAACTGCTATGGAGGAAAATCAGGCAAGGAAGTGGGATAATGTGCCAGGATAGTGGTAGGGGGAAGGGAGAGTGAAATTTTATTTTATATTATTTTTTAAAAATTTTTCTTTTAATTTATTGATTTGAGAGACAGAAACATTGAAAGTAGGGTAGTCAGAGAAGGCCTATCTGGGAAGATAACATTAAAACAAACACCTGAAGGGGACTCTTTCTCCCTCCCCACGTGGGAGTCTGTGCTGTAAGATTCTTTCTCCTTCCCCACCTGGGGGTCTGTACTTGTTTTTCAGTAAATTTCCACCTTTGCTATAAACACACACACATACACAAAAACTCACAGAGACCAGAAGAAGATAAAGGAATGAGCTATTAGATTATCTAATAATAAACTCATTAGATTAAACATCCCCTTCGGGCAAACACTAGGTAATCTGATCCATAAACTCCAAAAAGTGTATACAAATCCTGTTTTCTTTGTTTCTTTTTTTCTCTCTGAAAGGTAACGTAACCAATGTCATGGCATGGGGGAGGGGCCTTAGAATATCTCTTTAGGAGTAGGTGGGCCTTAGGCAATATCTACAGCAAGGTAATACTGAGTCGAAAGTTTAAAGACTTGAGTTAAAATAATTTAGAAAAAAAATTAGACCACCAGTAAAGGGGCAATGTGTATGGGGTGGGCATAAGGATCCTAAGGGATGAGGGTTTGAAAGGCATGTAGCTGAGTTATATGTACATAGTGGTGGTTTCTGTAAGTTTGATATAAATTCAAACCAAATGTATTGAGATCCTTCTAAATGCTAGGGCCTCTGGAGAGTGGGTACACAAGAGATGAATAGTACACAATCCTTTCCCCCAAGCAGGCAAGAGAGATACTTACTGAAATAAGGTTAAGCCTGGCCTGTGTGTCTCAGTGGTTGAGAGTTGACCTATGAAACAGGAGGTCACTGTTCAATTCCCACTGTGGGGTGCGCAGGAGGAAGCCAATCAATGATTCTCTCTCATCATTAATGTTTCTATCTCTCTCTCCCTCTCCCTTCCTCTCTAAAATCAATAAGCATATATTTAAAAAAAAAAAATAAGGTTAAGTATGGAGGTATGAGAAATGTAATCAAATAGAGAGGATTTGAAATAGCCCTTTAGAAAATGGGCCTTGTAAGACTAAGGATTGCAACCTGGGGATAGAAAGCTGAGATAAGAGCTTTAGCAAAGGCCCCAGGGCTGGCAAATATGGGGGAAGGGGAGGGGAGGGAAGGTAGGTTGAAAGCTTAGAAAAGGCAGGCAACTAGAAGCCTATGAAGGTCAATTTTATCTGTCAACTTGGCTAGGCTGTGGTCCCGGTTATTAAATCAAACACTAATCTAGGCATTGCTGTGAAAGTATTTTATGGATGTGATTGACATTCTTAATAGTTGTTTTTATGTAGAGGAGACTTTCCTAGACAATTTGGGTAGGTCTGATTCAATTAGTTGGAAGGTTTTAGGAGCTGAAGTTTCCCTGAGGAAAAAAGGAATTCCACTTATGGACTGCAATTTCAGCTGTTGCTAGATAATTTTAGCCTGCCTCTCCTGATGGCCTGTCCCATGGATTTCAGATTTGCCTATCCAGCCCCCACAATGGTATAAGTCGATTCTTTACAATAAATCCCTCAATGTACATCTACTGTGTCTGTTTCTCTGGTTGACTGACCCTGATCCATATAAAAGCAGATTGTGGAGAGCTTTGAATGCTCGTCTCAGGGTGTTGTGGGTAAGGGCTAGAGTCCTGATGAAGGGAAATGTGATGCCTAAAGCCCTAGCCCAAGCATTTCAAACTCACGGTCCATGGGCCACATGCAGCCTACAATGAATATTTTTGCAGCCCAGCCAATATAACGGTATGTAAGAAACGTTTCAATAAAAATTTTGTAACTTAATTTTTACAATATCCTGTTATACATAATTATTAATAATGAACTACAACGTTCGCTGACTGATTACTATAATCATGTTGCATTCATTTCCCTAAGCGCCTTATGCGCAGGCGCACCGTTTCTCTCCACTAATACTAGCAGCTAATATTTTAGCAGCCAATTGACATGTCATTAGTCTTGGACTGACTGGTTTGGTGTGTGCAACAGAAAATATTTTGCTTTCGGAGAACAAGAAAAATCGGTTTATTTGTGTTATGCTTATTAATTTGTGCAGTTATTCAGTGTCTGGTAAGTTAATGTTCAAAAAAAATATTAACTTTTATTAAAATGTTCTATTATTTTATGTTAATATTACTCATTTATTTTAGCTCTTTGTATTCAGAATGTCTTTATCAAAATAAACCTACGTTTCTATGAAAATTGAAGCTTTTGTTTTTTTGCAGCCCACATAAACTTAAACCTTGTTTATTTGGTCCGTGTTAGCCTTTGAGTGTGACATACTTGCCCTAGCCGGTTTGGCTCAGCAGATAGAGTTTCAGCCTGGGATCAAAGGGTCCTGGGTTCAATTCCAGTCAAGGGTCCTGATCAGGGGTTGTGCAGGGGGCAACCAATTGATGTGTTTCTCTCACATCGATGTTTCTCTCTGTCTTTCTCTCTTCCTTCCACTCTCCCTAAAAACCAATGAAAAAATATTCTCAGGTGAGGATTCACTAAGAAGAAGAAAGAAAGAGAGAGAAAGAAAGAAAGAAAGAAAGAAAGAAAGAAAGAAAGAAAGAAAGAAAGAAAGAAAGAAAAAAGGCTGAAGAATGCCCTCTTGCACATATTTCATATTTCCAATGACTTCCAAAGCTCAGGACCACTGGGAGAATTTTGTAAGCACCCTCCCCATTGGAAGGGCTCCCTTCATCCCCCTGCCCCATAGTGCATGTCTAGTTTTGCCTCCCTCTGAAATCCCAGGCATTATAGGACAGTCTAAATTCATCCATTTGTTCAATCAGTAATTTCTCCCATAGGCATTTCTTGGGCAGCAACTATGGGCAAAGTACAGTGCTCAGCCTTAAAATTACAGAAGTGAATGAAACATGGCCTGCCCAGTCTGTGTGGCTCAGTAGTTGAGTGTTGACCTGTGATTCCCAGTCAGGGCA